CCTACCCTGGGGGTCTTTAAGAGGAGGCTCAATTACACCTTGCTGGGGTCATCTGACCCCAGTACTCTTTCCTGCCATGGCAGGGGGTCGGACTAGATGATCGGCTCAGGTCCCTTCTGAGCCTAGAAACTATGAAACATCTTGGTATCTACACATGCCGTACTATTAGGACAGATTAAACTAATTAAATCTGCTGTGTTAGTACTTACAAATACAAGTACTATCTTGCAGTGGAGTTTTTTATTATTTCACAGCATCACACATATAGACACAGATGGCTGGCTGTGGCATGAGGGTGCTTCAGTGTGGGGCTGCCTACTGATTACCTCCACACTGAAGGCCCCTTGTGCCCCATCCAGCCTCTTTTCCCATGTTGAGCGGGGTTGGAGTAGCTCCAGGCTGGCAGGCTGACCTCTCATATTCCCTGCCAGTCAAGGCTGTTCTGACCTGGCTCAGCATCCCGTGGTTACAGGCACACATTAAAACACAGAGATGCGGTGCCTGGGAACAATAAACTTGGGTGTGATGTGTGCCATAGTCTACACATCCAATTAATATGCAACAGTAAACATGTCCAGTGTGAAACAGAGAAAGTCCTTTGGGATGTAGAGTGTTCAGGGAACGTGGCATCCCACGAAACAGTTTGGGTGAGGTCAGCAGGAACTTTTGGATGCAGACCATGAACAGGCCAGCCACAAGACCCTTGCAAGGGCACTAGTAAAAACTGTTACCTCTAAGTTCCTGTAAATAATAGGCTTGCACAATGCAAGCCTCATCTGAGATACCACACAGCCACTCTGATAAACCCAGTTCTTCTTTTGTCTGACTGCCATGACCAAGTGGGCTTGTGCTGCTGCATCCCAGAGGAAGGAGGAAGACAGAGGAGGGGATGCCAGTTTTCCCTGAGCACTCGGGGAAGGTTTTCTGTACTTCATCAGACTAATAAATGGTTTATTGCTTATCCTTTTGATGGCATTGCTTCTCTTTAGCCCTCCAAATCAGGAAGTTGCAAAGGTATCTTAGAGGGTCCCTGCTCGTAACCCAAAGCCTTCATATTCTACAATGGGCTTCCTAGAAGTACAGCACATGGGCCCTTTTTTTCAGTCTTGTCTGTGTCCTAATTGTCCTGCAGTCATAAGGAGTAGAGCAGGGAGTCCTGTGGTAGGTGGCAGAAGAAACTTTAGATTCTATGAGGTAAATAAAGATAGAGATACTTCTAACATTTAAGCTTAAAAATAAAATTTATAAAATACTAATGTGTAGATAGCATGTGGCCAAGGAGTTAGATGGTATGTGATAGATGTGAGATCTGAGAAATTCATAAAAGAGCTTTTGGAAAGCCTGACTAGTAACATTAGAACCAACACTGTTCTTAAGTTAAAAGCAGAAATGTAGAAATCAAGCCAGTTTATCAGGTTTGTTCCCTGCAGAGTTGAGAGTTACACTTGATAGCCGTGCCATAACAAGTCTTTACTGCATGTATCTTTTATTTATTGAGAGAACAGCAACAGAACTGCTTAAGTTCCAGTTGGCTACCCTTGTACAAATCCACTGCAAATAAAGGGTTGGCAAATATCTAACAGGCTACTTCATCATGCAGATGCTCTGTTGGTGGTGGTGCATGAAGAAGGAAAAAAAACAACCTAGCCTGACTTGCACAACCAAGATGAGCTTGCCAGGTTAGCTATTTAATCTGGACCTCAATAGTGCTGTCATGTACTTACTTATTTGAACCAGAATCCCTCCGATTTCCCAGCACAGTGCTTTAACCACCACCTTGGAGGGGAGACATTAGCCAGATCCTCCTCCTGTGCTCCCTTTGAAGCTAAGCCACAGCCCCTTGCATTTAATTGTTGTTAAGATGGACGGAGTAAGGGCCCAGGCTAGAACATGGGGCCGCTTCCTTCCTGACACATCGCTGAGCCACACATCATTCAGTTTGTGTTTATGCTAGGTTGCTCAGGGGGCAGCCTCAAAGGAGCTAGAGAGGGTGTCATACCTTACCTATGGCATGGTGGTTAAAACACTACACTGGGAAGTTCAAACCCCCTCTGGGCAAGAAGGGGCTGAGCCTTGGGTTTACTGGGCAAGTATCTTAACTACCCAGTAACTGAGGCTGCAATATTGTAGGGCCCTCCTCTTCCTCCGTCAATTAAGAGGTGACAGGTATGGCTCAGTAGCCTCCATCCTTGTTAGAGAAGACCAAGTGCTGTCCCATCATTTATCAAGTATATGCTCCATAGTCATCCTCCTTCTTAAAGAATAATTGTTCATTTGTTGTCTTTTGTCCAAATGTCCAGTAAAAGGCTCCATCTGCCAGGGCAGGAGAGGTTTGGAGGGTTTGGAACAGGCTCCCCCCAGAGGTGGTACAGTCACCCACCCTGGTAATCTACAAAAAGCATCTTGATGCCCATCTTGCTGGGGTCATCTGACCCTGCGGTCTTTCCTGCCCAAGTGGAGGGGGGCTGGACCCAATGATCTGTAAGGTCCCTTCCAGTCCCTAAAAACTATGAAACTGGGTAATTCAGGGAAACCTCACTTACTGGGGGGAGTAGCAAGGCCACTTATGATCACAGGGGCTATGGAAGAATATCTACCTTTTTATTTATTAAAAAGATATGCATTCCTCAAGGTTCTAGATATTTCTATTGCAGGAGAAAGTTGTGTTCATTCCTTATAATCTGCTCAGGCTGCAGTATCTGTCTATCTTTGTCTGCCTTAAACAAGACAGTAACACACACTCTTGATAGTCAGAATCATAAGGTTCTGTGAATACAGCCAAGCGTTTTAATATACTGCCCTGAATAATAATAAAGATTTGAATAAGTGTGGTCTTATTGAGCTCTTCCAGGAGTACTTTTGGAGTGCTGTACTTCAGAAAGCTTTTTAGAAGTCGCACAAAGGACAGAAAGCATGCTTGAAGCAGAAAGGCCTCTTGAAAGACAAGCAAAATATTTGTGGCTTGAACAGTAACTTCTATAGCCTAGCCCATCAGCAGAATGATAATATAGTTAAGGTTGTTTTTTTTTAATCAAGAAAATTGTAAACTTTTTGAAAGTAGAAGCTGTTGAGGAATTTGTGTTAATGAACCATAGGCTTTTAATGAAATGTTCTTCTGTTCAGTGTTTTGTTGTACACTTGAGCTTAGTGCTTTAGGTAAATGCTGAAACTCAGTGAGGAACAGTAGCTACTTAAAGTGTTCTGAGCTAAGCTTCATTGGCAGTACAGAAGCTTTGCCCAGGAAAAGAACAAAATATAATAGTCAACATAATCAGAAGTCTTAGAAACAAAAGTACACTGAAAGGTACTGAAAAAGTACAAAAGGTCAAATTTCTAAGGCTGTATTAATTCTGTAATTCCTTGAATTATGTGCCTGGCTTCTCAACCTTTAATGTTTGCATTTAACAAAGTTGTTAGGCATAGGGTATGCAATATTGGAAAAAGCCAATATCTAATCTGGCTGGCAAGGAAATGCCCCTTTCTTGTACATTTTACAAGCCTTTTGTGCAAAAAAACCCCCACTGTAGGCAAAGTTTAGGCAATATGTTTGCTATTAGTGTGGCTTTTTAAAGTGTATTTGGCTATTGTCTTCAATAACTATATTGCAAATCCTCTGCAAACAAAAATGATCCACTGCATAAACTTCAATTAAGTTCTCTTAAAATAGCTATGGGAACGCTATAACATCCATTGAACACTATGTAAAATTCTGAAATAATGAATGTTAATCTTGCAATCATCTCTCTTAGTACTTTCCCTTTATGATGGTTCAGGGCTATTTATTGCATTATAACTTAGAGTGATGTTCAGACATTGATCCAGTTTTGAATATTGCCTGCAATGTGTTTTCAGTTTTAATGCTTTCCATAAGTTGAGACACAACAGATTGATTGGTCTGTTGGAGAGGCTGGCTCTTATAGCTAAGGTACTGCACAGATTCAATTATAGAGATTCAGTTCTACCACAACTGGCGGCAAATTGCTTGGCCTTTGTTCCCTACCTTGCCTGGATGTTTGAGGACAGATTCAATTTGGAGGCATATCTAAACTGGGAAAATGAGTTACAGGAAATGTGAGAACTTTAAAAAAAATACAACTCTACACCAAATGCAGAAGTGGTTTAACATAATTAAAAAAAAACCCTCCTGGTTTCATCATGGACAGGGGCCCCCTGCTCTTCAACTTTACAGACCACAGTAGATTCTTTGATTGACCTCCCTCCCAGGATTGTGTCTGTACACAACTGAGGAACTAGATAAAATAGCTTCGTAGCAGCCTTTGCCTCTAAAATAGCGCAGGTGTGCAAGCTGTGGAATGAGTGGATCTTTGCTTGCTTATGGGGTGTAAATTTAGGTTGAGCCAGACTTTTTGGGCAGCAGGTGTAATGGTACCTTGAGAATACCTAGAAATTTGAAAGAGTTAAGAATAGAGGTCTAAGAAAAACTTAACTATATTTATGATAATTACAGCAGTGATGGAACATAATTACAGAACCCAGTAAACACCATCAGAGAGAGGTGAACTTAGACAGATTTAAAATGGGACTAGGTAGTATTTTTTAAAAAATATGGTATGAGTGTTTATGGTATCTTGTTCTTTTCCTATCAGATTGGGAGGCTTCAAACTCTTGCATGCAACATGCCCAATTTAAATTAGGTAGTCAGCACACCTAACACTGTCCTGCCTGAGAATTGCAAGAAAATGATTAAAAATAAATCACTTGAGTTCTTTTTTCCTCTCCTAGGAAAGTGGCAGGCAATTTAACCCTAAGCCAAATGTTCTCATTCTACAAGGAAGAGAGTTCACCTTTGTGAAGTTGATATCTAGCAAACCCAGTGCCCTGTTTGATGGATAACTAAGGGAAAGACTACCAAACCTACCTCTTATCCATGGCTGAGTAATTTCTAGCCCTTCCATATTTCCTCCCAACAGTAGAGCCAGCTGATAATGTTGCCATCATCCCCATCTTATCAGCTTCTCCCTCAGAGATGAATTAGGTAGGTTACAGAGTAGAAAGTGATGCAGCTCTGGGTACGTCTACACAAGACTCTTTACTATGCCACAGACTAATTTGCTGTGCAGTAAAGTGACACTAGCTACAGGTGTGTGGCAATTACAGAGCAGTGAACTAATTTATTTTGCTGTTGGATAGTCTCGTCAGATGCAAGTGGTATCTGGCAGTGTAGTAAATTACTATGCTTAAATGCACATGTAGACAGTGATGTCGGAATTTAGTTTACTTTGACTCAAATTGAGTCAGGGTATATTCAGTTGCATTAATTGCATGTGTAGATATGCCCCTTCTGAGTGGTAATTTTACATAAGGGAAATCATCTGCAAAAACTGGGCTTTCCAGGTGAGCAGTTAGTTGTTGCTCTATAACCTCAAAGGTGTCTATAAATTGTTCTCAAAGCTGTTCATAAATTATGATCCCCTGAGACCAGTGTGGTACAGAACAAATGCCCAGGAGAAAAAGGAGTGAGGGACTTTGCAGTTATCTTGGAATATGGGATCTGGCTGGAAAAATGCAATAAGTTTGTGAAGTAAGAGGCTGCTCTTAGTGCTGAGTGGTGTTCACTGCAAGAGCATGATCACTAAATGCGGCTCCCTTGGCTGATGGAAAATGTTGGTGGGGATGGTGGAGCAGAAAGGATGGCAGAACAGAAAGGATGGCAGATACCTGCTAAGTCTAACATAACCAAGCTGTCTTTCCATCTTCAGTGTCCAGATAAACTTCAAAAGTACGTGCCTGGTTTTGAAACGCTGGACTTGGGACTCAGATAAATGAGCAGTCCCTAAAGCTTATTTCATTGTTGTACTATTTACAATTTCTTATTATAGTTACTGCTCATCTCACTATGGTGGTTAGTTTATGGTTCACACTAGTACAATTAATATATACAATACATTTATTCCAAGAGAATGTATCTGACCAAGAGAATTTGTAGATTAATAACTGGATGGGTTTTTTGGTGTTTCAAGACTATCTGAATTGGTTAACAAATAATATAGTGTTAGACTAGTGAAAATATACTGTATGGTAGGAGAAATCAGCGCTACTTTGTATAAGTGTGCTGAGTTGTTTTTACAGACACCTTTTTAAAATTAACTTTTCATTCAACTCCTGAGGTAATAAGTTACATAAGCACCAACATGACTGCGTACAAATGGCTGAAACCTTTCCCTTACACTAGGAGAGATTTTTTTTTTTTTTACAGATTTTTCATGCAAACTTGACATCTGCTGATGTGAGTTCGGATGAGTCCTGCCTTAAGCGTGTCTGCAGAGGGTGTGCTCTGGAATTGCTCTTCAATAGTAGTGAGCCAGAAGCTGTATTTGTTTGCATAGTAGTGGCAGGTTCCACGGGCACCATTGCATTCAATAAAAGGGGTAGCTCTGAAATCTTCCAAACAGCTCCCAGGAGAAACCAGTGACTGCCCTCCACCTTCATCACCAGCTGCAGTGTGCTAGAAAAGACAAAGAGTGTTCAGACAGGGGCAGGACTGTACAAGTTTGTAGCCTATGACAGTAGTTCTCAACCTTTTTTTGTACCAGGACCCATTTGTAAATATCAATCACCAGTTCCAACCCAGTGCCCCTCACTCCTGAC